AATGAAAAAACATGATTTCTGAGAATTGTTAAAAACTGAGTTATCTGTCTTTGCAAATTAACTCTTCATATAGGCCTATATTTATTACATTTTACATTATCTCACACATGGATCTGCATTTTCTATAATGTATTTCTATAATAAAAAATACATATCTGATATGACTTAATATGTAATTATCATCAAACAAACAATATAATTCATATTCTCAAGGATTAAAGATTAAACGGAAAAAAAAGAAAAAAAGTTGTAAAGCTATATAAAGCTCAATAACTTCACAGTAACACACTGTAGTGTCACCAAATTCAGTTTACACATCACTGCTCTCCTGCTGGTTATACCACAACCGTTATTTTTGAAAATAATTGCTTTTTGCATATTTATGATTATTTATAATGAAAAAAATAGTCATTACCGTCATTGTTATTGGACAAAATAATCAATAACTTCACTGTAACACACTGTACTTTCTCCAAAATCAGTTCACACATCACTGCTCTCCTGCTGATTATTCCACAACACTTATTCAAAATAACTTATTTTAGTATTAAATAACACTTATTCATTTTAAATAATCATAGAAAATATGCAAAAGCAATTATTTTTCAAAAATAACTTGTCACTTGTCTCTCGGACGCCAGCGCATTGAGATCAATGTATTTTGTACAGAGCGGAGGAAAGCTTGTTTTGAGGAGAACTCGCTTGTAGCTCGTGGTTACGTTCCCAGTTAGTCTAGGGTTAGAGGAACAGGTAACAGAATAAAAAGGTGATGTGTGGAGGCAGCAAGGTTCAATTCCCAACCCCAGAGCTTTAACAAAGGCCAAGAATCTCGATATCAAAACAAGTTATTTTATTTGACAGATATGGGAGGATGTCAAAACTTCAAGAGGGGGCAAGGCCAAAATAACAAACAAACCCTCTAACTATTTGGGATAAACTAACTAAGCTATACAAAGAAAAGAAAACAAAATACAATAGATATAAACTACCTCCCTAACTAGCATAAACAAGAGGAAAACAAGATAAAGAAAATGGCACCCACCTCTCTACTAACACATTCCCAATAAGTTAACAATGTAAGTTTAATAGATAACAAACAATAACATAGGTAGGGACAAACAAATAGTAACTTCCAAAACAAACCAGGTTTCTTGTCGTAGGCATCAGTTACCACAACAGTGTTAACACAATAACACTACAAAGGAATCATTCAACAAAGTATTAACCAGAACAACTAATAAAGCTTTTTGGGTTGAGAATAGAAGCCTCACGACGCAGCCTCCACACACACCTTGCGCTGTGCAATGGTGCTGCTTAAATCCTCACTGCTTCCCCTCCTCCTGCAATTACATCAGATCACCAATCATTGGAATCAGGTGGCAGCCATTACCTCCTGCTTATAGGAAGTAAAAGGGATAGAGAGAGAAAAAACAAATACGTCCTTGGACGTAACACTCGTTTTCTACATCACTACGCAAGAAAAGAGGCGTCAGTTGTGTAGTAAAAACATTTTGCTCGTGAGTTATTGATCTGGAAAATCTGTGAATATCTTGCTAACTTTACCGAACTGAGATCCGGGGAATTGCCAAGCCACGGATCCAAAATTTTAATGTAATGATCTTCGAGCCACTTCTTTGTCACTCTTGCTTTGTGACATGGTGCTCCATCATGCTGGAAAATGCACGGATCATCACCAAATTGCTCATGGATAGTTGGAAGAAGTTGCTGTTGCAGGACGTTTGAGAGGGATCAAGCGCAAATCCTGGCAGCGACAGGTCCATACCATTCTTTATTCATGGCAGTGTTTTTGGGCATAATTATCAGAGAGCCCACTCCCTTGGTTGAAAAGCAACCCCACACATGGATGGTCTCAAGATGCTTCACTGTTGGCACGTCACAGGACTCATGGTATCATTCACCTTTTCTTCTCTGAACAATCGATTTTCCAGATGTCCCAAACAGTCGGAAGGGAGCTTCATCAGAGAAAAAACTTTGCACCAGTCTTCTGCTGTCCAATCCTTGTACTTCCAGCAGAATTTCAATCTGTCCTTGACGTTTTTCTTGGAGAGAAGTGGCTTCTTTGCTGCCCTTCTTGACACCAGGCCGTTGTCCAAAAGTCTTGGCTTCACTGTGCATGCAGATGCTCTCACACCAGCCTGCTGCCATTTCTGAGCAAGCTCTGCACTGGTGGAGTCACGATTCTGTAGTTGACTCCTCAGGAGGAGACGGTCCTGGCGCTTGCTGGACACTCTGGGACACCCTGAAGACTTCTTCACTGCAGGCGAACCTCTCTCTTTGAAGTTCTTGATGATCCGGTAAATGGTTCTTTCAGGTGCAATATTATTTGTAGCAATTTCCTTGCATGTGAGGCCATTTTGATGCAAAGCGATGATGGCTGCATGTGTTTCTTTGGAGGTAACCTTACACAACACAATGATTGGAAGAGCTTCTTCCCTCCTTTTATAGCAATCAGTCTGCTCTTACAATCTAGTGATTTTACCTGACTAGTACTCATTCACACTTTCACATGTGCTGCTGATATGATTAGTCAATTAATGTTAGCTGGTCATTTTGTGTCAGGATCAAAAAACAGTGAAAGTTAAATGTAAATGTTTTGGCCAATGAAGCTTTTAGCAATTATTTAAAATGCATCTGATCACTCTACAAAATAATCTAACGACAACGTGAATGAACACCACAACAGCTTAAGCAAACTTTGCAAAACACAAAATTTGTCACTGCCAAAACTTTTAGCCATGACTGTACTCATCCATAACACGCTGGACAATAATCATCAATACATGCATATTATGTGATTTACACATTTTGCAGGTATTTCAAAATGCCTTTGAATATAGAAAATTTATATTCTCAGACTTGAGTACTGTGTAATTATCATATTCTGTATTAGATGAAATATAAGTTATCTAATGCTGCGTGATGTTGGTGTTTCTTGAAGCATAAAGGAATGGTTTACGAATAGAAAACCAAAAAAATGAAATTCTGTCATCGCTTAATCATCCTTGGCTCATTTTAAATTACTTTAAAGCACCATAAAAGTTGTCCATATCTCTGTAATCTCTTGTACTTCCTCATTAGTCCTAAGTTTATTATGGTGTAAATTAAATGGTGTCATTATTTTATTGCAGAATCACAACCATGAATGCTGTAAATGCTGTGCAGCTGTTCATTCTGGTTTGGACCTTTACTGCTCTCTGTCAAGCTGATAAAGGTAAGAGAATAAACTTCACCTAGAATGAACTAAATCTGAAATAATGAAAAATATCTGATTCATAGATATACAAAACATGGCTCTTTAAAAAGAATACCCAAGAGCTTTTGAGTATAATTCAAAATACAGATTTACTGTTTGAACAGTTTTTGCATAATAGGAAGAGAAATCCTTTAAGGTCAGAGAGCAGTATAATGTTTTTGTACAGATAAGTGCAAAATCTAATTTTCAATCAAGAATGCATGATCTTGTGTTTTCTCCACTGACTATATGACATGGCAACAGTCTGGATTGGTAAAAATCAGGAGTTTCAGCAGATTTTTATTGTTGTGTATTATATGATTTACATTGTTATTTTTCAGATATCAGTGTAAACTGTGAGAATGTGACTGGATCTGTGGGGAAAGAAGTAACTCTCACCTGCAGTGTTTCTCTGCTGATAAATGAATGCTGCATTAAAAATAATATGTTTAAACATAAAGAAACACAAATCTGTGCACAAGTTTTTCCTGTGAACAGAGGAAAAGCTTCACATGCCACTACACTCCAACTACAGCAATGACAGAACAATTCACATTCTTTGTGCAAGCTTCCTGTGGATGGAAGAAACCCGAATTCACTGTTTACACAACAGGTACTGCATTTACTGTAATATTTTTGTTTATAGTGCAGTAAATCTTTGCAAATGTCCATTTATGTTATATCTACTAACAGTGGTTTAAAATATATGAACAGAGGCCATTTAACCGGAAAATGATAGTAAAACTCTTGGTATGAAAGCTATTATATATTTAATATCTCCAACTACAGCAATGACAGAACAATTCACATTCTTTGTGCAAACTTCCTGTGGATGGAAGAAACCCGAATTCACTGTTTACACAACAGGTACTGCATTTACTGTAATATGTTTGTTTATAGTGCAGTAAATCTTTGCAAATGTCCATTTATGTTATATCTACTAACAGTGGTTTAAAATATATGAACAGAGGCCATTTAACCGGAAAATGATAGTAAAACTCTTGGTATGAAAGCTATTATATATTTAATATAACTATTGATTATTTCTTCAGTTTACTTAGGACGTATGAACCCAGAAAACCCATCAGGATCCTCTCCACCTGAGACAGCAGCAGGAGTCAAGGATACTGTCATCACTGTGCTTGTGAGTGGTTTCCTCATCATCCTCATCATCGTCATCATCATGACAATAATTTACAAAACAAAACCAAACTTCACCAAACTTTCTGGATCCCAGAACAGGATGTGTCTGGTTGTCAAACATGATGAGGACGAAGCGTTCATCCAGAAGATGTGATATAATAGCATTGACTCAGCAGTATGAAACTAATGACTTATGTCTGATTTTCCCTGTGGTGCTCACAAAAGACACAAGCTTTATTATATCTCAAACTTAATATATAACTCTGGCTGTAGGTTTTAAAACTCTATTCCTGTTTTATATTGATTCTGTGAAATATCACTGTATTATTGATCTGTTTGATCAGTGTACATACAGTATATGGCTGAACGTATACTGAATATGTGAAGTGATTAAAAAAAAAAACAAGCAGAATTAAACAGCCAGAGATATCGACCTGATTTCATCTTCACTGATGGATAAAATAATTTTACATTTTTATATAATAATTTTGCATTTTTCATAATATCCTCTTTGATCTTCCACAGAATAAAGAAAGTCATACAGGTTTGAAATGACATGAAGGTGAATAGATAATTGCTGAACTGTCATTTTTGGGTGAACTATAATATCTAAACATGGTTGGTTAAGTTTGACTTATTATTTGCATTTCAGAAGATTTTCGATTTTCAGAAGAAAGATGCAGCCTTGACAATTAATGATGATTGATTTTTACGTTGTGTGAATTGTATTCACTTTTTAGCTCAGCTTTTTAAAATGAGTTTCTAAAGGTCATTTTCAGGGTGTTTAGTTTATGCACTGACACCCCATAGAGACAGATCATACTGACTATGATTATCATTATCATACTCATATATGATTTATCAGCCAACTGAGACTTTTACCCTTGAACTGATTTCCTGCAACCCATTAAAATCCCGTTTATCTTTGATGAGGGAGAGATTTTGCAATGACAAATTCTCTCATGGGTGGATAAATGTTTCCAATGAATTCAGTTTTATTTACATATCACTTCTCACAATGCATGTTGTTTACTAAAAAATGTGCCGTACAAAGAAGAAAATATCTCTAATGTGTTCAGGTATGCAGTAGTAAACTAGTGTATATAACTATAACATGGAGGAGTAGAGCCATTAAGTCCAGTTATTTAAAGTTCTTCCCTGCTGGAAAAAACAAAACAATAGAAACATCACAGAAATTCTAATGGTGTTCACTACAAATGCCATTACAAACATCTCAAACCATCTACTATTACGCATTAAAACCATTAAAAATTGTTTCCTGTAGTGTGCTTTTGGGACATATTCCATTAAAGGGGTCATATGATGCGATTTAAATTTTTCCTTTCTCTTTGGAGTGTTACAAGCTCTTGGTGCATAAAGAAGATCTGTAAAGTTGCAAACACTAAAGTCTCAAATCCAAAGAGATATTCTTTATAAAAGTTAAGAGTCAACCACTCCTACCTAAAACGGCTCGTTCTAACACGCCCCACATGTCTAGGTCACTATGTGGGAAGATTTGCATAACTCCGCCCAAATGTTCATGCAAAGAAAGAAGGCGTAACTTTGATTCTCGCTGTAGTTTTGTTGTTGCCGCCATGTCGTGAAGGAGCTGTGTGTTTCGTTGTGAAACGTTGTCGTTGTCTTCCAAAAGAGGACACGACTAGAAATCAGTGGTTAAGTTGTATTTATAACACTGTTCCAGAACAGTTCAACCCAAATATTCAGATGTGTGCAGCGCATTTTATGGAGGACTGTTTCCTGATCCTGAGAGAGTAGCCTACAGCTGTTATGACTCACGTAAGTAAGTTTTTTATATTTAAAGAATTTGCCACTGACGATTCAAAAGCGAGCAGTGCAGAGTAGTGCTTGTTGTTTATCATTTCTCCGATCACAAATGCAGACATGGTTTTAAGTTTACGCGGCGCGATGCAACCGCGTAAAAAAACAGTATAAGTCATTACAATCCGTATTTATGTCCCCACTGGATGCAACAAATGCTTCTGCTCCAGCTGGACACGGCATCACAGTATGTTAAGGGGCGTAACATTTCTGTCACACGCTTGAGGTATTCGGCCAATCACAACTCACTGGATAGCTGGCCAATCAGAGCACACCTCGCTTTTCAGAACGATGAACTTTGTAAAAATCTACGCGTTTCAGAAAGGCGGGGCATAGAGGAGAACATTAATGTTCTTTTTAGCAGCATCATATGACCCCTTTAAGATTTAGTGGTTTAACAAGTCACCAATAAAAGGAGACAATTTACCAGTTAAGACCATTTTGACATTCATTTACAAAGCAAAACCAAACTTCACCAAACTTTCTGGATCCCAGAACAGAATGTTTCTTGTTCCCGGACAACAGCGATCATCCAGCATATATATATATATATATATAGGTCAAAAGTTTGGATACATTACTATTTTATATTTTTGCAAGAAGTAACTTATGGTCATCAAGCCTGCATTTATTTGATCAAAATTTTAATATACTTTAAAATACATTTTATGCAATGCAGATTTATTATCAATGTTGGAAACCTGTGATACTTAAAAAGTAAAAAAAGAACAACATTTATTTAAAATATAGCTTTTGTAACAATATACACTACTGTTCAAAAGCTTGAGGTCAGTATTTTTTTTTTTAAAGAAATCAGTTTTTATTCATCAAGGATTTATTTAATTGAACAGTGATAGTAAAGATTGATATTAATAGAAAACACCTCTATTTTGAATAAATGCTGTTCTTTTTAACTTATCCTTTATCAATGAACACCAAAAAAGTATCAGGTTACAAAAAAAAACAAAAAAAAAACAATTAAACAGCACAACTCTTTCCAACATTGACAATAAATCAGCATATTAGAATAATTTCTGAAGATCGTGTGACACTGAAGACTGGAGTAATGATGCTGAAAATACAGCTTTGATCACAGAAATAAATATTTTAAAGTATATTAAATAGAAAAAAATTATTTTAAATTGAGTACAATTTAATAATTTTTTTTGAATACAGTTTTTTGTGTTTTTGATCAAATAAATGCAAGCTTGATGAGCATAAAACACTTTCCTAATGCTGCATAATTATCAAATATTTTAATGTTAAAGTCCTTTCACGTCACCATTTCGCCAGCCTACATTTCACGTAAGAGGCCTGTAGATGACACTTGGGCTTCATTATTTATGATAGTTTCATGAAATAGTAAACGTGTACCATACATAAATATAAGGGAATCGAATACTGATTACCATTATTGCGACTTTTTGCGCTGCACGGTTTTGTGCAGTGCTTTTGTAGTCATTTAGCATCCATTTTCTCAGCGATGTTTGATTTATAAAATGAGACAAACCGCAGATCCAGAACGATCCACAAATGTAAACTCGTCTGTCCATGTAATTTTCAACTGATTTATGAACAAGAACTGAAAATGACGCTCCACTTCACATTATTGTCCAATGAAATGTGAACTTCTTGTGCCAGATCATGATTGGTTGGTGTAGCCTATTATGCATGACAAACGGGCAATGATGAATTATGTAATATTCTAAAATAATTAAATCGACACACTAGCTTTGATTATTGATGAAAAAAAGTTTAAAATATTGTTTAGTTTATTTTTTCCTTCCGGCGACCCACTCACTGAAAGAAGGTTTCCGAACAGACTGGAATATCAGTCAAGCAAAACGCACGCAACTATAGCAACGCCTCAGATTGACAGATATGTACAAATAAACAGGAATTTTTCGACTTTTGAGCGATTAATTACTGTTTTGTACACATTGTCATGTTAATTATAATTGAAATGCGTTTTGTTTTATTTACCACAATATCATTGCTATTTGTCTGAGAGGGGCACTTTTGAATAATTTTGAAAATGGGCAGGGGCTTGAGCCCCCAAAGCCCCCCCTTCTGCACGTGCCTGGATATCGCAATGAACTAAGATTGACAGCTTTTCAGTGATTATAAAGGGAGCTCATACGCGCGCTGTCTAAGCCAGGCCGCGTGGGTCGGGGGAATCGTTAGGTTTCTTAATAGTGTTGTCAAAAATATCAATCTTTAGATACATATCTATAGTGAAATATGTGAAACTGTTCAATAGTGCTTTCCTGCAGTATCGATACAGTGATACCAGCTGCGTTAATCTGTCTCTTCTCTCCGACAGCGCACTCAGCAGTCTGACAGAGCCACGCCCCTCTCAGGCAGAGCCACGCCCCATCTCACTCAAGCCACGCCTCCGACTGCCAGCCAGTGCCTGTGTCTCATTGCCACATTAATCAGTTTTATTATTTGCGCTGCGTGTTTCAAAGCGAAGTAAGCATTTTCCTCACGCGAACAGCTCGTTATACGTCTCAGAACGGCTCAGTTCACTGTGAATGAATGCAGTCAACTCCATCTCTGCATGTGATGAGAGTTTTTTGGCAACAGAGCGGTCACCAGGCTTTTTTTTTTTTTTTTCATTTTATTCTTTTCATATTTGCATAATTTCCAACATTTTAGTGGGCAGATGATTACAGCATTTCACCATAGATTTATAATGAAATGCACTTGTAAACGTGTGTTAACAGTTTCAATTAGCAGGCCTACAATATCCTGTGGAAAACACTGTTGATTCTGTAAACTTTACTCGAGCATAGTAGCCTATAACTAGAATTATTTTTAAGTTGTTTATGCCACATTCTTACAGTAGTTAGATCTGACAAAATTTTCCTCTTTGTATAGGTGCAAGTATGAAAGTGCCATGCAAAGAGGAAAATCACTCTAACGTGTTGATAACGTGTTGGTATTTGCTAGAATTCACGATGACATCTGAATAAGATGTCCAGGACCTCCAGCAGGAAAAGAGGCCCACAACATTAAAGATACAGCAGCATATGTCATTGTACACATGGGGTACATTTTTTGTGCATTTTTTCATGTGGTAATGTAGGGGCTCTTTGATACATTTCTTTAGGCTTTCTGGCCCTGAGACTCAACTATTTTCTCAACTATTCTCCAGCTGTGATCCTTGGAGAATCTTTGGCTACTCAAACTCTCCTCCTCACCTTGCTCTAAGACAATGTAGACACGCGTCCTCTTTCAGGCAGATTTGTAACATTTTCTGTTGATTGGAAATTCAACAGATGACAATGGGAAAATGGGATTTTCAATACATTTGCACTTTTCTTACAGCCACTTGTGAAGCTCAATGATCTTTTTCTGCACATCAGAACTATATTCTTTGGTTTTACTCCTTGTGATGGATGATTAAGGGAATTTGACCTTTATGTTTCATCATATTTATATTCCTGTGACAGAGGAAGCCATGATAATTTCATGTTCATAGTCACCCCTGGTGTGCTAAAATGTGTAAATATAAATGGCAATACTTCAGAGATATTTTGCTCATAGTAATTTTTAGGGGTACCAATAATTGTGGCCAACGTGTATTAGAGAAAGTCATTTCTTAGTAAGTAGACTTTTGGCCTACTTTCATTTGTTTTACTTTTTGAAAGTTTCGATTTTTTTTAAAAGAATGAATGAATGAACGAAAAGGATAAAACAAAAAGATCAAAGCCGCCTTTGATCATATTTACCGAGTGTGCCAAAAATTCTGACCGGCTGTATTTGACTTTGAAACAGCATTTCACAGCTGTCATCATCCTTATGGCATGAAGGGGAAATTTGCAGGTTAGTAACAGCACCAACTGCTGGTCAAAAATGTTTTAACATAAACAACTGAGACTGAGAACCATGCTGAAAGTGAAAGTTTAGTAGTGGATCAGTGTTTATAAACTCGTGTGAGCAGCAGAGAGAATCAGAGAGGAATGAACTCAGATGGTGAAGACACACAGAGCGCAGGTGAGCAATAACTCTGTCTGAACACGAAATAATTCCCTTTATATTTACCAATCCATGACGCGCTGCTGGAAAACCATCCATGCGTGCATGCTGTTTACGCAATTTGCAGATATTTTAAAAAGAGTATGAATATATAAAACGTTTTGTGCTCATTTTGACTGATACATGTTGCAGTGCTTTCCATAGAACTGGTTTTTGTTTTCAGTCAGTAAAGATAACGCAATGGAAAGATTTGCTCTTCGTGGCGTTTGTTTTTAGTCGCAGCTGTAGATTCAGCTGATATACGGGTGTTTCATTGCGTGCCCTCAGTGCTTTTTACTGTAAGAATATTTGGGGTTTCCTGGCTATATTTTTTCACCCATTATAGTCCCATCAACACATCTAAATTAAAGCACGAGTTGTTGTGTGAAACCTCGCGAAAATATGAGACATATTTAAGACTTTAAGCGTATTCTCAGGCTTGAGGTTAAGAAAAGTTTTTACTGTAATTAAGCCATAAGGTGCATGAAGCATTAAGGAATAGTTCATTCAAAAAATGATTCTTTATTCACCCTCATGTCATTTCAAACATCTTCAAATGATGTCAGCATTTTTTATTTTGGGTAAAATATTCCTAAAAGAACTGATTGAATCCAAGTAAAACACTTTTCTGCTGAGCTTTCAGTAATTCGTCCTCTGTGTCTGCTCTGTAATCTCTAGCACTTCCTTATTAGCCACAGTTATGTTTCATTTCTGAGGTAAATATCTGTAATTCTTTCTATTGCAGAATCAGAACAATGAATGCTGTAAATGTTGTGCAACTGCTCATTGTGGTTTGGACCTTCTCCGCTGTCTGTCAAGGTTATGATGATGGTAAGAGAATAAACTTTCCCTTAGAAAGTGTGTGTGAGAATGGCGAGTGACTAAATGTAAGATAAAGAGAGAAAAAAAACATTTGGTCAAATGTGCTTAATATGCAAAGCATAAATGAAAATGCACAATATTTTGTAGTAAATCTGAATTCTTTCTTGTTTAAAAAATATAGATATTTTCATTATTTTTCAGTTGCTGTATTATATGATGATATATATATTGTTATTTTTCAGATTTCAGTGTAAGCTGTGAGAATGTGACTGGATCTGTGGGGAATGAAGTAACTTTCATCTGCAGCATCTCTCTGCTGCTCACTGAATGCTGCATTACAAAGTATAAGTTTCAATACCCTGAGAGCTTTAATGACTCCGAAATCTGTTATCAAGTTTTTCCTGTGAACCCCTGTGAACAGAGAAACAGCTTCACATGCCGCTACACTCCAGCTACAGCAATGACAGAACAATTCAGATTCTTTGTGCAAACAAACTGTGGAATGAAAAGAAGAGGATTCGCTGTGGGCATAACAGGTATGGTATATAATACTGTTGTTTATAATTCAATGAGTGTTAGCTGTACATTTATTTTTAGTCTACTAACAGTGGTTTAAAATCTGTTAACAGAATCCATGAAACGTGAAATTGACACTGAAGCTCCCGGAAAGAAAGGTATTATATTCTATTATAATTATTGATTATTGAGCTCCCGATTACTTGGGAACAAAGAAAAATGCTCTGTGGTCTCTTGTCACATGATTTTAGAGAAGATCTTAAGAAGGAAACTGATGTTTGAACATTCTGTCAAGAAATCATGAACGGATTTTCTGATAGGCTGAAGTTGAGTTTATGATTGTCATAAAACATTTTAAACTCACCTTTCCAGAAGAACCTGTCAGGGACATATCAGAAACATCTGAACAGAAGAAAGAAGAAGGTCGTGGATATAAGATCGCCGTCATCGCTGCTGTTATAAGCTGTTTTATCATCGTCATAATGCCAGTCATTTACAAATTGACACAAAAACACACCAAACGGAACAGGACGTTTCTGAGTGTCAGACATGAAGACGACAACAGCAATCATCTAGAAAATGTGATATAATAGCATCGACTCAGCAGTACCAGACTAATTAACTAATTTGTTTGACTTTTCATACAGTGCTCATGAAAGACACTCCAGCAAACTTCTCTACTATCTGTTAAAATTTAAACTATACTGACCTGTATAACTCTGACTGCAAAACTCTGTTTCTGTTTTATATTGATTTCTGTGAAATAATGCTATATTATAGATCTGCTTGATCAGTGTATTTAGTGTTAATTTTCTGCACATGCAATTTCGTAATAGTGTGAACAGTAAGGTTTTGTACAGTGTGTTGTATTGATTTAACAAGTAAGGAACTCAATAAAGACTTGTGATACACTCTTAAAAATAAAGGTGCTTCAAAAGGTTCTTCAAGCGATGCCATAGAAGAACCATTTTTGGTTCCACAAAGAACCATTCAGTCAAAGGTTCTTTAAAGAACCATCTCTTTCTTACCTTTTTATAATCTGAAGAACCTTCTTTCGCCACAAAGAACCTTTTGTGAAACAGAAAGGTTCTTCAGATGTTAAAGGTTCTTTATGGAACCATTTAGACAAAAAGGTTCTTCTATGGCATCGTGAAGCACCTTTATTTTTAAGAGTGTAGGCTACTCTCTAAAGAATATCTGGAACATGTTTTTATCAGCACATAATGGGTCAGAACAGGAAACTGGGTGAAAAATAGCTGCACAGAGCTCATCTGTGCCTTTAGTTACTGAATGAGATTCCCTGGATCTTGAGATTCATTTTCTGAATTTCTGTACCGAGAAAAAGAAAGTAAAATGATCCCACACCTGTGAAAAACAAACAGTGTTCATCATGTACTTGGATACTTCCAATCCAGTGTGCAGCAGTCATTTGAGTCCACAACAAACAAGATGGATTATTCGCACAAGCAGCGCACATCACGAGCAGCAGCAAGGGTCCGTTTCACTCCATTTGGTTTTTGTTTTTTTGTTCTTAGGGGAAAAAAATACTGATATCAATGTTGGAGTCCTTCACATTCAACACACCAAATCACAATTATATGATGCCCAAACTACAACATTCACACATACGGTGGGATTCAGTACACTCTAAAAAATGCTGGGTTAAAAAGGGACAAACCCAGCTATTGGGTTGTTTTGACCCAGCACAGCAGTTGGGTTGTTTTGACTCAAAACAACCCAATAGCTGGGTTTGTCCCTTTTTAACCCAGCATTTTTTAGAGTGTAGGGTCACATCTGGAAATCTGTTATTCAAAGTCTAATTTCAAACTGAAAATAAACCAAATTGTATTTTTAATTATTATGAACAAGTCCTATGTTGCTAATGAAACCATTTTGAATTAAATTTGTTTATTTGTGGGAAATGGTAAAAGCCGTTCTCTGCTGAACTATCATGAATATAATGCAACTGTTGTGATGCATTCATCTACCAGCAGAGAGCAGGTCCTTTTGAAATCAGCTGACTTTGAACAATATGAATGTCATATATAGATCACATGATTTTTAGAAATTATATTATTGTGTCTTGTTCTGAGGTGAATATGCATCATTTTGTTGTTGATTGAGTGTCGTTTGATGACTCTTGGTGGAGGATTGCTGCTTGTTTGTTATTCTAAATGAAGATCAAACTGATATAATGCTATAAACTGAAAGTGAAGGAAACAATACACTGTTTTGTTCACTTTTTGTTTCTTTGAAGTTTCTTTATTCTTTCACTTTGCTCCTTGTCTTTCATATGTGGTTCACTTGTGAAATGTTCTGTACGGACCGTGTTTGCACAGCCTCTCTTTTTCTTCTATAATGAAACACGCCAAATTTCCCATGTGAATTTAATTATTGTATTTGAATAAAACGGCAGTAGTTAAATTCACTTCACATTAAGTTTAAATTTGGAAAAAGAAAGATTTAGCCTAATATTACAATCAATTAAAAATCTTTCATTTGACAATTAGTGATGATTCCCATTGTGTGAATTATATTAAACCACTTTTTTAAATGGTTAGCTATAGGTCATTTTCAGGGCGTTTACTTCATGCACTGCACTGGCGCCGCAGATTTGAGCTCAAACTGACTATGATTATCATACCTGTTAGATCATGCCTCCACGCCAGATAATTAAGATCCAGTCCCGGATGCCAGATCCTGTCCGAAAATGTCCATTTTGTCTGATAACAGAACAACTAATCAGCAAAACTGTCTAATAACCAAAACCTGTTAACAGCAAGTTTTGTCTGGTACCCAAAATAGCCAAAACTCGATTAACCATCTTTAATCAGCCAAGAAGTTGACTGTGAAAGAAAGTGATGATTATAATAAATGATTAAATGGAATAATAAAATGATTCAACTGAATAAATGAATGAAGAATAAATGAATATAAAAGAAAGTAAGTAAAACACAACACAAATGTGGTTGCTCTCTTGAAGCAACACACACAGTTTGCATTTGAGGATCCTTCATACTCGTACTATGATTTATCAGCCAACTGAGGACTGACTTGGACTGATTCTTTGTCGCATGACACAGAGAGTTTGAGCCCAGTGGAGATAAACAAAAGGAAAAAGGTAGGTGAGACACAGACAGATGTAATAAAAATTTCTACCAAATGCCAAAGCAATGTAAATGCATGGTTATTACAGTGAGAGCACCCTAGAGCAACATGGGAAACACCTCGCTCGAGGCTCAATGGTGGAGGCTTGTATTGTTTGTAATGTTGCATGTAACGATGGAAAAATTTTACACAAACCGCATTCATACGTTGACACATGGTTTAACGGCTCATTGTGCTTGTAAAGGTGATGCAATGCATTAAAAACTTGTTTACCTTTGCATTCTTTACCTTGTTTATTTTGCATTAATAAGCAGGTTCTCTCAGGTCACTGGTGCAAAATCGCTACAATGTTAATATATACTGTATATGACTTACTGTACAGGTCATGATTTGTCTATACAGATGGTCTATACCAGTGATGGGCAAACTTGGCCCTTCCAGGCCACTTTCCTGCAGAGATTTGATCCAACCCTGATCAAACTCACCTGCCTGTAGCTTTCTAGTAGTCTTGAAGACAATGATTAGCTGGTTCAGGTGTGTTTGATTAGAGTTGGAGCTAACCTGGAAGGGCCAAGTTTGCCCACCCCTGGTTTAGAGCATAAGAAAAAAATGGTAAAATAACATTTTTGAAAAATTATATTATATTCATATGTTATGCTATGTCCTCTGTAGAGGACACCAGGACTCAGTTTTTCTAAAAA